TGTTACGGAATAATTGAAGAGAATTAAGTAATTAATTAGTATATTTTAAGACCTTAAATAATTTAATTTAGTTAACCAAATAAAAAAGCAATTAGGAAATTGCTATCCGAAAACTTTTGGTGGAATAAATTGTTTATTAAGTGATATAAAATAATTTTTAATTAATTTTCTGACCATTCAATCAGAATATTATTAATTAGACCAAATCAACCATTATATAACATGATGGCTCATTCCAAATAATAGGATAATATTCAACAACATAATTTTTTAAATTTCATAGAAAATGATAATTTATGGGTTTTTAATATTATTTTTGTTCCGTACATATATGACTTGCAAGTATTCTCCAAATGTATTGCACCTAACAGAGCAATAGTAAAAAAAACTTATAATAGTTCTAAATTAAAAAGATGATATCAGAATTCAGGAGACACTCATGTGACAGAAAACAACAGGTAAAGACACAAGAAGTTCTTACGTGGAAAAACTCATAAATGGAAAAAACAATGAGGTCTGACCCAGTTGCAAGTTCCACTGTAGATTGATGATTACAGAGAGTCATTGTCCCACAGACGGGAAAAAGTTACCAGGTTTTCCAAGTTACAACGCGACTGACGGCTTCCGGTCAGCGGTCGACGATGATTGGTGGTGATAGATGACGGTCAACGGCGGTCGATGACGGTTAGTGGTGGTTGACGGTGATAGTAGTGCTCGATAACAATTGGTGGTGGTTGACAACAGTCGACAGCGGTCAACGGCGGTACGACAGTCGGCGGGCGTCAATGGCGACCGGGGTGTTGATGATAATTGGCGGTGGTCGACGGCGGCCAACCACGATTAATAATGATATGGATGGTGTTGGGCTTCAGCTCATTCTCAAAGCTTTAAGTTTCTTCTCAAACTTCAAGCCTCTCCCCCTCTTCATGAGAGTGATGACTCGATTTATAGTGTTTTGGGTGCAATTAATGCAGAAATATGAACCAATTTGATCAGACAGTCCAAATAGCTTCTTTCGATAAGACGATGTTCAATGACAATTTTGGTGTCTTAACGATGTCGGAATTGAGCAATCTTGGGTTTGTTGAATTCGTCTTGTTGAGACGCTCTATTCAACTATAAACTTGTCAGATTTGACATCCTTTTGATCTTTCACATATGTTTGAAAAACTTCCAACCTTTGTTTGATGGCTTGATTAGGGCTCAATTTGAATCGGATTGGACTAATTTTGATATCATTGGATCTAACTCATCGAGTCTGCCGGGTTGACTGTAAGTTTGATGAAATCAAGGCTATAGATAACTCTTCATTGAAGTTTAAATGTTTCCTGCTCAAATGATTTCCTCGAGATTTGTACTGAATAATGAAAATTTATTGACAGTGTATCAAGAAGAAAAAAACTTTTGAATCAGATCATATGATCAATTTATGATCAAAATGAGCCTTAAATTTATTATATTTATTTATAATTAAATTGATGTATCAATCATGAGTTCATACAACCTAGGAGAGACCTGTATAGGAATAAATGATGCAAAAGAAATGAAAGATTATAGTTTGTTCCATAGTTCTTTGCTCTTCATCTCTGAAAGAGACAGGAGATGATGAAAGAGATGAACCTATAAAAAGAGGACCAATAACCCTTAAAGGTGGGAGAATGCATTTACTTATATGACTCATAGATGACCCTCCATCCTTGAGGGGCTACACAAAGTGGGAAAAAAATATAAAATATATAGTATAAAGTCTATCAATGACATTCCAATAAAAGATAGTGATATGGGTGTCAAGCGACTCATGATTGTATGTTTGACCTCTACTGATGACCTTCATTACGGTAGTTGGCAGGTTTCAAGAGACAATTATTGAGAGATTGGAAAACCATCTCGGTGGGTCACTCCGACAGCTGGTATATGAAAAAAAGTACATTGATAGACAAGGTAAGTAGATCACATGTGCAGGTCACTCTAGTAGCTGGTGTATGACACTTGACACATAGGTTGGGGAGGTAGGTAGATCACCTCTATTGGTCACTCCGACAACTTGTGTATGACACCTGACCCATCGTTAGTTGAGGTTGGCAAATCACTTAAGTAGGTCACTCCTACAATAGGTATAGAATTTTGTTTTCGAGGAGATAAGCTTTCTAGTCCCAAGAGGCCTTGTAACATGTGTATTGCCTCATGAGAGCCATTTAAAAGTATACATTTAGTTCACCGATTCTCTTAAATATTTGGCATGATAGTACTATAAGAATAAGAGAATAAAAAATATGTTGTTGCAAGATTTCTAACAAATTAAATGCTCACCCTACCCATAACTCTTGCAGGAAACAACAAAGTTTGAAATCAATATTTGAGATTAGATTTTTTTTGTATGTGGGCGCTTTGGGTACATGTATAGGGAGTAGTTGCTCAAATTTACTGCTAATTTGGATCAATCATTTGTCTGGGGGCACTTGGGTTGTACCTGTAGAGAGTAGTCTCTATAAGTTCTAAGTAAGTGTGAGTTTTTTCTCATTAAGGGACCTTGGCTCTCCTACAGAGTGAAGTCTTTCAATTTATATGCATAAAGTAGAAGATTAATTGTCTTAAATGGTCGAGCTATTTGCAGTGAAAGCATGAACTTCGGGCAATGTAGAATGCAACTAAACATGATTCATGGATGATGGTAACATTTTATTTTATGATGTGTAAATAATAGGTTATATATGAAACTAAATTTGAGACTTCCTTATTAGAATGTTGTTACCAAGTAGCATGCTTATCGTAATTTCTTTTAAGCCAATGAATAAATGTCGTGTGAATTAAAATAGTATCCACAGGCTAGATGTCTGTGGGGGCATCACTATGTTGTCAAGGAAAAATAACATAAGTCATTAAAGATGATAATAATTGTATTAGTTATTAAATCTTCTCAAGCATTAAATATGTGGATATGAAACAACACTGTTAATCTCAATGATCCATATAGATGAGAATAAAGAGAAATAGGAAGATAAACATCCTCTCTCATGCCATCGAAGGACACCAAGTCATGCTATGCATTCTACTGCATCGTGTATAAGAGATCTTGGGGAAGTCCTCTGGGCCACATTGCAAATTGGGCCTGTGCCCAACAACAAGGGCAAGATGATCATAGAGAAAGATGATTGCAGGCAAAGCATCTTAATATCGAGGATGGGCTTAAGGTCACAAATCTTGTGTTAGTCTCCATCATTCGCTTTGAGCGGCCTATTTTCGTGGGCGACATGTGGATAACTCTACAATGGAGGAAGCAAGGTTGGAGTTATGCTCCTTGGCTAATATGTGGCATTTGGCCAGCTCCACCCACTTGGCTAGCGTCTTCGGTCATTGCAGACCTAACACATATCAGAAAGATCCTTTCTTCAGCCGTTGAGACAGAGTAACATGAGTGATTCCAGACTTTATGTTGTGCACTTCAACATTTCTTCCTAGAAGCAAGTGATAGATGAGCGCAAACTTTCACTCTCTCCCTGTCGGAGCTATAGAAGAGTCTTTGTGTTCTTCTTTGGATTCTAGGCACTAGTGAATTGCACCAAAAATATTTGCTTAAGGTCACCAAACAATGTGATTACTTCCGAAGATAAACTGATGAACCATCTAAGGGTCAACTCCTTTAGTGTGGTGAAGAAAAGATGACACTTCAGTGCGTTAGTAATCCTTAGCAGACACATAGCTGACTCAAAGAGGGCTATGTGGTCGATCATATCATTCCACCATCTATAGGACTCTACTATCAGGATCTTGAATCATTATGGTGGCTCAGCCTCAAAGATCTCTCTAGAGAACACATTCTCAGGTTGTCGAAGTGCCTAAGTAGACCCAATTCGATGTAGATTGATCAGAGTGGGAGTCGCCTTCCCTTTCCAAGGCCGTGAGGAGACTTTTTCAGTTGGACATCAACCCTTCGTCTTGAGGTTGTTGTTCTCTTCCCCGGATCAACACACCTCAATTGACATCCAACTTCTAATCCTTCAGCTCATGGATCGGCTGGGTCACAAATTCTCAAGCACACTCATTGTTGTCAGTGTTTCTTTTTTAGTTTCTTCTCCTTGGACTACTCTTCTTCTTGTTTGTGGCATGATCCACGTTTATCACACTTTTTTGGATGTTGAATCCAGATTTGTCCGTGAATCGCATTCAAGGAATAGAGTGCAAATAAGAAGAGATTGATAGATATATAGATTGAGAGAGAGTGGACAATAATGAAAAATTATCAATTATGTCTTATTCATAAGATAATTCTTTTATTTATAGAAGATATGATATTATATTTTTTCCCTTGCTTTAACGTAGTATGTATTGGGTATTTGTGGTATTTCACATGGGTAATACTATCTTCTGGCTTCTTCACACCAATAGGATCAACTCGATCAACTGAGAATGGTCGATATAGATCGATCGGTTAGTACAACCCGACTGCCGACCTTGGATCCCTATTGAGGTGTCTCTAAACATCCTGAGATGGCTGTAGATGCTAGGGAATTAGACCTTCCCTTGTGTCGGCTCTACAATGGCAGTTAGCTTAGATATCATCTTATCTCGTTTTGGCTGAGTGACTCATTATTTTATTCTCGATAGACTTTGGTTTGCCTGGTGATTCGGCTGGCTTTGGAGTTGATGGCTTGGTCTCGCGATCTTCTGCCTGTGGATCCTCCTTAATTGTATTTTTCTCTCCTAGACCGTTAGATCTCTTCAAAATTAATAATATCACATTTTCTATGTGAAATACCTAAGACCTAAAATTTATTTTCTATATTTATATCACTCAAATCTTTCATATCATATAAAAAATATGATCAATTTTTTTTTAATTAAACGTCCCAACTTTTTGGAAACCGAATTACGTAAGCTATAGATATATAGATATATAAACAGCCACAAAAATGTGTACAAGCACGTGTGAACAATTCCACACGTGCAAACCATAAAAACTTCAAAAAAAATTACAGTTCAGGCTTTGGCTTGGGGGCTTTTCATAGATTGCGAACCCATGGATTGAGACAAAGAAACCTCCCGCACGGTTGACAGAACCGGCCGCCAGACAGACCCGCCCGCCACACGTGTGGCCGGGGCCGGATTCGAACCTTTCCCTGATCGACTCCGGCCGGAACTGAACCCGCTCCGGGCGCACCCGACTCGACCTTCGCCTTTCTCACTTGAGCGGTTCGGGCCAAATTGGTGAGCCGTGTGGCGAGCGCGGCTAAATCGAGCGGACCGGCCTGGAGAGCGTAGCTTGGGAGTAGGAAGTACAGCCGGCCGGATTCTAGCCGGTCGTCCGGCCGGAGCGGTTGGGCCCCCGGGGATAGAAGATGGGCCGCCGAGCAAAGAACGTGGCTGGACGGGTTTCCGGTGACCTCACCGGCGGCGACGGGCAACTCGAATAGCTCCACGACGCCGTTGATGTTGATGACTCGGACACCGATGAACGGTACGGATGCTTCTTCGATCGAGTAACGGCAGCCCATCTCTATCACTCTCCAGCTTCTCTGAAATCTCTTCAGAAACCGAGGGATTTAGGTCTGTGAATTGCGTCGGGTATTTATGGTGAAATCTCTTCAGAAACCGAGGGATTTAGGTCTGTGGATTGCTTTAGGTATTTATGGCTTGATGGGAGAAATTTATGTAAATAACCTTCTCATTTTGTGAAATTGCAAAGGGTGTAAGTGAAATTTGGTTGACTAAAGTTTATTTTTTTTTTATTTTAATAAAAAGTGTCATAATTTAAGTTAGTTTGAAAAAATCAAATTTTTTTAATTGGAATTTAATTGTAATGGCAAAACAATTCCAAGCTACACTAAACTGTAAACATTAGTTATAATATACTTGTTTGCTCATATATGACTGATTATTATGATGTTTTTCTACTTATGAAGCTCAAATTTTGATGTAATTTTTATATTTTAAATATTCAAATATTTTGGTTAAATATTTTAAATTAGTTTTGAAAACAATTTAGGTTTATTTTTAATAAATTTATAGTCAAAATGATGAAATATGATGGGAAACTCATCGATATTATGAAGATCTAAGTTAAACTGATTATAAATTGAATACAAATGAGCATGATTGGAAACATCTTATAGTCAATGCAAGCTTCTAAATAAGACAACTTTGATGAGGTCAATTTCAATTTCACCAAGACATTGATTTGCTAAAAAATATAATATGATTGAAGGAGTTTTATTTTGATAATCCAATTGAGTGCTCTAATTCTTGACAAAAATGATTACAATATGTCTTTAAAAGATCTATGAATAAATCATATTTTCATACATTTTTAGTTGAAAAAAATTTGATTCATAGAGAATTTTCGTGTTGTATTTTGTGAATAACTCATCTTTATCCCGACTTTTTGACATCCTTGTTAAACTAGCGGATATACTTAGCCATTTGATCTGCTAGCCTATAAAAAAAATTATAAAATTGACCATCTACCATTGTTTAGCTTTTTGACATTTCTAATCGGTCGTCTCTTGATAGATGCCAATGGATGACATCTCATATTCTTCAACCATTAATACTCGAGGCCTATGTTATCCATCATTTGATCTTGATCCCAATTATGAGAAAGCCAAATCTGATTGCTCACTATAACCTAAAGGACATAACTGGGTTATGTCCAGCGTGGACAATTATCCCCTAAAATTTGCAATTTCTCTATATAATAATAGAATTTTTAATATTTATTTTCTTATATAGTTTAGAAAATTTAGTAATTTTGCTCTCACCCCCCCCCCCCACCCCCACACATGCCCGCGAC